TGGTCACAGTGGATGATAACATGGCACTGATTTGACACAGCACAAACAAACCCATCAGTCCAGGGTACTGTTTCACTGGAAGTTGTGGCTCATCCTCCTTAGAGTTAGGTGTATAAACACTGGAAGAGGTGATGGTTAGAAGGATAAGAAGAGCACTGAGATTCAAACCTGTGCCACTGCTGTAAGGACTGCCTTGAAGCCTTGTACCTGGGGGTTACGCTTTACCAGCTGAGCTAAACTGCACCCCAGGCACTGGGATTCTTGGGTGGCAAAGATGGAGGGAAGGATGACAGTCGGTGAAGACGATTGGAAAACCCTCTTACTGTATATTGTCCTTAAAATCGACTGTCTTACCTACAGATGTCACATACAGTATGTATAGCGCTCTCTTGTGAAACATTGTGGTATCCATTTCACTGTGAAAGGAAAACACAGAACATGTGTGTTTAGAAAATAATTCTAAATAAAGACAATAAGCTGCCCTGTCTAGTTTGTATGTGCTATAAATTGTATGCAGTGATATTTTGTCTGTGATTAGTCCTGTTCAGGTCCCATCGCCCACTTTGTTATCTGAATCTGGATGAAGAGACTGCAAAGCCAGTAAATCTGATTATCTCCTGCACACATGCAGCTCTGAATGCAGACACTGCATTATGGATACTCACAGTCTCCCCAAATCTTTGTTGTTGCTTGTCATTTTTATCCAGATGCAGTATAATTCTAATTGACAAAAATTTATATTGAAATGTATCTGTTGGACTGAATGTCATTGTTACTCTATTTCATTTAATTTCTTTTACTCCATATTCTTTTAATTGACCCTGTTATTTGCTTTTATGGTGTGTTTCTGTCTGTTCTTTGTCTTTGTTTTTCTTTACCTGCCAAATCCACTGACTTTATTCTAAAGTATATGGACCTTGGTGAATAGGATGTTAGAAATAAAGCAGATATTTGATTGACAAGAGGATCAGTGCCCATTTACCAGGATAATGTGTTTTCAGAATTATATATCTTATTTGTCGTTATTGTTATTTCTTGGTCATCATGAATAATGGTAATTGTTTTCCATGTATCTCACGGAGTATGCTGTAAAGTCCCCTCCAAAAGTATTGGAACGGTAAGGCAAATTTTTTGTTTTTGTTGTTAACTAAAGACATTTGGGTTTAAGATCAAAAGATGAGTATGAGACAAGAGTTCAGAATTTCAGCCTTTATTTCCTGGTATTCACATTTAGATGTGTTAAACAACTCATTGAATGACCAACAACATATCATATGTTTGTTTGAACCATTTTTCAAGTGAGCAAAACTATTGGAACTTGTCAGTCAACAGATGTTTCTTGTTGCTCAGGTGTTGCCCTTTAGGTTGATTGTTCAAACATTAAATAGCTCTGCATGACTAGTCTAAGTTTTCACCCTTGGTTCAAACCTACACTGCTCAAAAAAATAAAGGGAACACTAAAATAAAACATCCTAGATCTGAATGAATGAAATAATCTCATTAAATACTCCTTTCTTTACATAGTTGAATGTGCTGACAACAAAATCACACAAAAATTATCAATGGAAATCAAATTTATCAACCCATGGAGGTCTGGATTTGGAGTCACACTCAAAATCAAAGTGGAAAACCACACTACAGGCCGATCCAACTTTGATGTAATGTCCTTAAAACAAGTCAAAATGAGGCTCAGTAGTATGTGTGGCCTCCATGTGCCTGTATAACCTCCCTACAACGCCTGGACATGCTCCTGATGAGGTGGCGGATGGTCTCCTGAGGGATCTCCTCCCAGACCTGGACTAAAGCATCCGCCAACTCCTGGACAGTCTGTGGTGCAACTGTTGGTGGATGGAGCGAGACATGATGTCCCAGATGTGCTCAATTGGATTCAGGTCTGGGGAACGGGCGGGCCAGTCCATAGCATCAATGCCTTCCTCTTGCAGGAACTGCTGACACACTCCAGCCACATGAGGTCTAGCATTATCTTGCATTAGGAGGAACCCAGGGCCAACCGCACCAGCATATGATCTCACAAGGGGTCTGAGGATCTCATCTCGGTACCTAATGGCAGTCAGGCTAACTCTGGCGAGCACATGGAGGGCTGTGCGGCCCCCCAAAGAAATGCCACCCCACACCATTACTGACCCACCGCCAAACCGGTCATGCTGGAGGATGCTGCAGGCAGCAGAACGTTGTCCACGGCGTCTCCAGACTCTGTCACGTCTGTCACATGTGTTCAGTGTGAACCTGCTTTCATCTGTGAAGAGCACAGAGCGCCAATGGCGAATTTGCCAATCTTGGTGTTCTCTGGCAAATGCCAAACGTCCTGCACGGCATTGGGCTGTAAGCACAACCCCCACCTGTGGACGTCGGGCCCTCATACCACCCTCATGGAGTCTGTTTCTGACCGTTTGAGCAGACACATGCACATTTGTGGCCTGCTGGAGGTCATTTTGCAGGGCTCTGGCAGTGCTCCTCCTGCTCCTCCTTGCACAAAGGCGGAGGTAGCGGTCCTGCTGCTGGGTTGTTGCCCTCCTACGGCCTCCTCCACGTCTCCTGATGTACTGGCCTTTCTCCTGGTAGCGCCTCCATGCTCAGGACACTACGCTGACAGACAAAGCAAACCTTCTTGCCACAGCTCGCATTGATGTGGCATCCTGGATGAGCTGCACTACCTGAGCCACTTGTGTGGGTTGTAGACTCCGTCTCATGCTACCACTAGAGTGAAAGCACCGCCAGCGTTCAAAAGTGACCAAAACATCAGCCAGGAAGCATAGGAACTGAGAAGTGGTCTGTGGTCACCACCTGCACTCCTTTATTGGGGGTGTCTTGCTAATTGCCTATAATTTCCACCTGTTGTCTATTCCATTTGCACAACAGCATGTGAAATTGATTTTCAATCAGTGTTGCTTCCTAAGTGGACAGTTTGATTTCACAGGAGTGTGATTGACTTGGAGTTACATTGTGTTGTTTAAGTGTTCCCTTTATTTTTTTGAGCAGTGTATAAAGACTGCATTTCCTGATAAAGAGGATAAACCAACATGAAGACCAGAGAGCTGTCTATGGGAGAAAAGCAAGCCATTGTCAAGCTGAGAAAAGAAGGAAAATCGACCAGAGCCATTGGACAAACACTGGGCATAGCAAGCACAACAATTTGGACTGTCCTGAAAAAGAAAGAAACTACTGGTGTACTGAGCAACAGACAACGAACAGGTTGGCCAAGGAAAACAACAGTAGTTGATGAAATATCATGAGAGCTGTGAAGAAAACCCCAAAACATCAGTAAGTGACATCACCAACGACCTCCACAGTGCAGGGGTGAAGGTATCACTATCCACTGTTCGAAGAAGACTCAGAGAGCAGAAATATAGAGGCCACACCACAAGATGCAAACCACTCATCAGCAGGAAGAATCGGAAGGCCAGATTGAAATTTGCAAAGAAGTACAGAGATGAGCCGCAAAAGTTATGGAACACAATCTTATGGACTGATGAGACCAAGATCAATCTCTAGCAAAGTGATGGAAAGGAAGCATGTGAAGCATGGTGGAGGTAATGTCATGGCTTGGACGTGCATGGCTGCTTCTGGAACAGGCTCATTAATATTTATTGATGATGTAACTGATGATGGTAGCAGCAGAATGAATTCAGAAGTGGACAGAAACATTTTGTCTGCCAATTTACGGAGAAATGCATTGAAACTAATCGGGAGGAAGTTTATCATGCAGCAGGACAAAGAGCCAAAGCACACTGCCAACAAAACAAAGGACTTCATCAGGGGGGAAAAGTGGAAGGTTTTAGACTGGTCAAGTCAATCAGCTGACCTTAACCCAATAGAGCTGCATTTCACCTCCTTAAGAGGAGACTGAAGGGAGAAACACCCCGAAACAAAGAAGAACTGAAAGAAGCTGCGGTAAAAGCCTGGAATAGCATCACAAATGAAGAATGCAACAGTTTGGTGATGTCGATGGGTCGCAGGCTTGAGGCAGTTATTGCAAGTAAGGGTTACGCCACCAAATATTAAATGTTATTTATTTTAAGATTATTTGTTCCATTACTTTTTCTCACCTAAGAATGCTGTGATCTAATATAAACGGTGATATGTCCTAAGTTGGTTAACACATCTAGATGTGGATACCAGGAAATAAAAGCTGAAATTCTGAACTCTTATCTCATACTCATCTTTTGATCTTAAACCCAAATGTCTTCAGTGAACAACAAAAACAAAGAAATATGCCTTACCGTTCCAATACTTTTGGAGGGGACCGTATATGTGTGTATTGTAGGCCTAAGTGCTTAGTTGTGTGTTTACATTTATGTATAAAATACTGATAGACAGTGTGCTATACTTTGAAATGTTTACAAGCATGCAAGTCCAATACAAGTGCATTAATACCTTAAAAAGAAACTAGTTTTACAGTATTCTTTCATCCCACAAAAATCACCTGGCACTTTAACTGAACAATATAAATGTTAATCCATGGCACCACCTAGTGGTCAAATAGATGCTGTATGGGGAATGCTGCACCAGCTTCAGCATTAAATACTGGTAGTCATATGACCCACCATACAGCATGAGTCACGTAATCTGCCTTATTCTCTCCTTAGGCCTTACTAAGCAGCATGCATTCTTTGTGTCATTGTCATATTATGTATAATTTGAGAGAGACAAAAATCTTTTATTATTTATAATAAAATAACTGTATGGTATGAAAAGTATACATAAATTCTGCAAACATATACAGTCATTTAACAATTCACAAATATATAGTACATGTTTAAAAAAAATAAATGTTGATTACTCAACTACTAACAGGCAGTTAGTTTGAATTTGAAACTAATGTCAGTAACTATTTTATCACAATCATAATTGTAGATACCAATTGACCAATGACACAAACTGAACAAGGTGACCTGCTTACACTTTTCCTTTATAGAGAGTTAGATAGACAGCATGTACCATCATTTTGATGTATTTCTCTTTGCTTTCTTTCTCTGTAGGGACCAGTGACCCATATGTGAAGTTTAAGATAGCAGGGAAGGAGGTGTTCCGGAGTAAGACCATTCATAAGAACCTCAACCCGGTGTGGGATGAGAGAGTAAGCCTTCTGGTGGAAACCCTGAGGGACCCGCTATATGTCAAGGTACAGCAGATAAGTCCTGGACTGCAAATAGCATCCTGCTGTAAAAAAAATTGCTGTTGTATTTTGGATTGACTGTCAAGTCTCAACGGACAAGTGAACTTAGCTATGCAAGCTTTCTTTTTATGCATGGTATAGTGAATCAATGTGAAAAAATAATGTCATGGGCGGATGACATTTGCAATGTGGTGTTGAGGGTCGCCTCTTGACAGTTGCTGTATATTGTCTCTTTGTAGGTTTTTGACTATGACTTTGGACTTCAAGATGATTTCATGGGCTCGGCATACCTCCACTTGGAGTCACTGGAGCATCAGAGGTATTTGTTTTACTTTTATTACTGCCTTCTTTCCACTGTCACCTTACACAGCAATCTCAATATCAATCTCTTGCCCTCCTGTTAACTAAACTGTCTCCCGAACTCTCTGTCTCCACTAGTTGGATTTGAAGTTCTGTACTAGTAGCTGCATTCCCCCAGCTGATGTGTCAAGAGCAAATAATTATTAGATTAAGGTTTAGGGAGTCCTCTCTCGTGACCCCTATTTTCTTGACACACGCTCCTCTCCAAGTATCTTTCCCTGCTTATGATGCAGTCATTTTAATCAAATATAGTCTGGTCTCCCTCTAGTGGCAGTCTTTGGTTAGCTCACCTCAAACCTCATGAAGCATAACAGGGCAGAATTCCATTTTGATTGCACAGACAATATGAAGAGGAATTTACTTACCAAAAGTCCATTATTTATTTTCTGTCAAGTAGAAATACAGGCATCTGTTAAAGATGTATCGAGCTTAATTTGTACCATCAATCACTTTGGAGTGGGTGGCACATTTTTCAGTGAGAATTTTGAAGAATCCCTGCACACCCACATAGGTATTTTCAATTACTCTGGCTGATCATACCTACTCTGGTGGGATATGGATGGGGCTATGCTGGGAATAGGCCAATGAGTGTGACAGGGAGCCAGCGTGCACAATACCAGGACCCTTACACCAAATCAGCTAAATGTAATTGAGCCATTATTCATTTTATTATTTATGCTTTTCCTACTCTGACATGTCAAAATGTTGTCTGCTTAAAATGCCTACTATGTGATGTCTTAGGTGAAAACACCGGTTTGGATGTAGCATGGGTGTGAAGCGCTTTTATTAACAAGAGAAAGCTTTGTGTTCTTAATGCTTTTTCTTTCATTCAAAATGGTGTGCATTAATGATGATTCTTACATTTTTTATGAAAAGCATTAATCTCCATATTTCCAGTGAGCTATCTTTCTGCAACGTTGGGGTCATCGCTGCTCATCAGAACTGATTAGTCTTCACATTACCTGCTGTGTTTACCAGCATTTCTGATGTAACCCAACACTGAACAGCTCCATAAAACATTCATAACTGTTGCTGTTGCTTTGTGTTAGTGCTTGTATTTAAAGACAGACAATCAGTTTTGGTGGTGGGCGCCCATTTTGTTCACATCTAGATGAGGAATTGTGACTTAAAACAGATCAGAATTGTCAAGAGCAAGTCTAAACTGAGTTAAGCTCACATAAACGTTTGTTAAAGAGTCTGCTCTTGTTAATATTAATTACCCACCTTGATATCCCTATACTAATTACCTGCCTTATGCATGATTCAAGATTGTTAGCAAGGTTGACTGCAACTCACTGAAAACAGAATGGCAGCTAGAAGGAAGAGAGGATGGAGGCAGAATGTAGTAGTCCGCTTGTGGACAGCTTATCTCCATGCTCCACATCGTTGAGTCGGACTTGAGCCAGGGTCAGGCCTGTAGGATATCAGAAGGACGATTCTTTTTTTCTACCAGACTGTGAGGCCCAACAAAACCATTATGATGACTAATATGATGACTTATTATGACTAAATCTTTCTCAACAAATATAAGTAAATCTTTTTTCAGTCCCTTTTTTTTTTAAATAGAACAACTAAGTGCTAATTTGTTCGTGATTTCAAATGGATTAAACAGAATATTTATTGATGATATATTGAACATTTATTATATTGTTATTGAGGAAAATTATATTGCGATAATTATCATTATTGTTTTATTGCCCAACTTGAACTGACTGAATATGTGTATCCACTCTGTTAAGATGGTGTGGTGTGTAATGCATAAATTCAGTTATATAAATGCACTGTATCCATATGAATGAACAGTATTAATGTAAGCACTTACAGTATGAATTTTATGTGAACATTGATTACTGTGCTTCCTTGTAGGACACTGGATGTGACGCTGGACCTGAAGGACCCACAGTACCCTGAACATAACCTGGGCAGCCTTGAACTAGCTGTCATTCTGTCACCGAAGGAGGGAGACATGAGGGATTCTGTAAGAAAACTATTTGAGCCTTCAGTCAGATTACTCCTTCATCTCTCGCTCTTCCTGCACACACTACATTTACTCCTCATTCTGGGGAATCATTCCTTCCTACCTTATGTAGGATCTATACATCATCTTTGACATGTGACACCAAGATAAGGAATAAAATGCCTGACATACCGGAGAAAATAATATATAAATCCTGACCTAAGTTAAGCATAACTTCTTTTCAGTAAAAAAAAAAAAGTTTTATAATTCCTAATCGAAGTTCAGCAACAGTGTTATTCCAGGTCAATGAACTGCTTTTCCCATACATCAGAAGCATGCTGTGTTCAACTGGGGTATGCTGGTTCCTTTCGACCTCAGTTACTGGAATCTCTTCAACTCAGCAAATACATATGCATAAACACAAGTGTAATTAATATGTTCTGTGGAAAAGTTCCATGTTCAAAGAGCACTGGATTCTCTTTCCTAATTATGTTGGCTTGTGCCTCTGCGGACATGCTCAGTGTTTCAGAGTTGCATTTATTTCTGTTCAATTATTTGTTTGGGTAATTGGACCCCTGCATGCTCAATCCGGAACAAGGCAGAGTCATGAGGGAAATATTTTATTCCTTTTGATCTGATGTCTTAATTCTGCTGCTTATTTAGTACTGTAGTTCAGAGAGTCCACATTTGACAGAACAAATAAACTCTATTTAGGTTAAGCATCATTTTGGGTTTCTCCAACTGTGATGAAAATGAGTACAAGGTTATACTAGTACATTCTGGATGACTCGCTCTGTTGCCATCTACTGGTATGGAAGGGTAAGGGAATATAAAGAACTTGTGTGTATATATATATTGAATATACTCGTAATGAATCTTCTATTTAACTGCTCATTTGATCTGGTCATTTTATTAATCATGCAGTAACAGTGTTTCTGTATATGAGGATCTGCGTTATATACTGCGTTTTCAAGTTCACGAGTGTTGGGTTGGCATGAGAGAACTATGTGTTTGTTTGTACACATATAACGTGTCCTCATGTAATTATTATTTTTGTATTTGAAACTTTTACACTAATTATTAGTTTAAGTCACAGAAAAAAGCCAAAGTGCGAGACATGCAGCAAGACCTATTACAAAATCACCATGTCCATAATTCTCACTCTTATGTCGGTCAGTACAAAAAAGTATTTACTCTTGTGTACTATGAAGTACAATGTTTAAATGTTTTTCAAGGTGATTCTTTGTTATTGGACTCAAAGAAGTCAGAACTTAGCAAACCAAACCAGGAAACAGTTGCTGTTGCGTTTCTTTCATGATGTTTGTGAAAGTATAAAGTATAAACATGATGGTTATACACTGAGAGGCACAAACTGCAGCTACTGTATACATACAGTGGGGAGAACAAGTATTTGATACACTGCTGATTTAGCAGGTTTTCCTACTTACAAAGCATGTAGAGGTCTGTAATTTTTATCATAGGTACATTTCAACTGTGAGAGACGGAATCTAAAACCAAAATCCAGAAAATCACATTGTATGATTTTTAAATAATTGATTTGCATTTTATTGCATGACATAAGTATTTGATCACCTACCAACCAGTAAGAATTCCGACTCTCACAAACCTGTTAGTTCTTCTTTAAGAAGCCCTCCTGTTCTCCACTCATTACCTGTATTAACTGCACCTGTTTGAACTCGTTGCCCGTATAAAAGACACCTCTCCACACACTCAGTCAAACAGACTCCAACCTCTCCACAGTGGCCAAGACCAGAGAGCTGTGTAAGGACATAAGGGATAAAATTGTAGACCTGCACAAGGCTCAGATGGACTACAGGACAATAGGTAAGCAGCTTGGTGAGAAGGCAACAATTGTTGGAGCAATTATTAGAAAATGGAAGAAGTTCAAGATGACGGTCAATCTCCCTCAGTCTGGGGCTCCATGCAAGATCTCACCTCGTGGGGCATCAATGATCATGAGGAAGGTGAGGGATCAGCCCAGAACTACACGGCAGGACCTGGTCAATGACCTGAAGAGAGCTGGGACCACAGTCTCAAAGAAAACCATTAGTAACACACTACGCCATCATGGATTAAAATCCTGTAGCGCACGCAAGGTCCCCTTGCTCAAGCCAGCGCATGTCCAGGCCCGTCTGAAGTTTGCCAACCCTCTGGATGATCAAGAAGAGGAATGGGAGAAGGTCATGTGGTCTGATGAGACAAAAATAGAGCTTTATGGTCTAAACTCTACTCCATAAAGGATGAGAACAACCCCAAGAACACCATCCCAACCATGAAGCGTGGAGGTGGAAACATCATTCTTTGGGGGTGCTTTTCTGCAAAGGGGACAGGACGACTGCACCGTATTGAGCGGAGGATGGATGGGGCCATGTATCACGAGATCTTGGCCAACAACCTCCTTCCCTCAGTAAGAGCATTGAAGATGGGTCGTGGCTGGGTCTTCCAGCATGACAACGACCCGAAACACACAGCCAGGGCAACTAAGGAGTGGCTCCGTAAGAAGCATCTCAAGGTCCTGGAGTGGCCTAGCCAGTCTCCAGACCTGAACCCAATTGAAAATCTTTGAAGGGAGCTGAAAGTCCGTAGTGCCCAGCGACAGCCCCGAAACCTGAAGGATCTGGAGAAGGTCTGTATGAAGGAGTGGGCCAAAATCCCTGCTGCAGTGTGTGCAAACCTGGTCAAGAACTACAGGAAACGTATGATCGCTGTAATTGCAAACAAAGGTTTCTGTACCAAATATTAAGTTCTGCTTTTTCTGATGTATCAAATACTTATGTCATAAAATTCAAATCAATTATTTAAAAATCATACATTGTGATTTTCTGGATTTTGGTTTTAGATTCCGTCTCTCGCAGTTGAAATGTACCTATGATAAAAATTACAGACCTCTACATGCTTTATAAGTAGGAAAACCTGCAAAATCAGCAGTGTATCAAATACTTGTTCTCCCCAATGTACATGTTTATCTGTGTGTGTGTGTGTGTCTGCAAATACACCATATGACCAGTAAAAACACTTCTCATACACTTCTTGTTTACTTAAAGGTTTAGTGTGTAAAATTTAAGAGGATCTATTGACAGAAATGCATTATAATATACTTGTGTTTTCAGTGGTGTTTAAAGACCTTACATAATGAACAGTAATGTTTTTATTACCTTAGAATGAGTCATTTCTATCTACATACACGGCAGGGTCCTTATATGGATGTCGCCATGTTGCGCCATTATGTTTCTACAGTACAACTGTTTTACAGAGCGTGTTTCGTCAATATGTTGAATACGTATAAAGAAGAAGGTGGTAGTAGTAGTCGCCTGGTTTGTAAGAAGTAATAAGAAAAGAGAAATTGGAGAAAATGGAGGATCACGCCTATTATTGAGCAGCATAGCTTCTCCTACGTGCCTACAAAGTGAGGGGTGAGCGGTGAGTGACCCACTAGATACCACTTAAACTTACACACTGAACCTTTAACTTGCATGAATGACAGCTACCCTTTTCTCTTTTTCTAACCCCCCCCCCCGCGCCAGACCAGGGTGAACATCTTCATACATCATGCCCTTTAACCTCTGACCCTGTAGCTCTAAGGGGGAGACAGTGGGGGCTGCTCTGTAACAGCTTTGTCTCATTTACAGACCATGCTTTTGAGAAGGAACTGGAAACGATCTAGTAAGGTAAACTAAAACAGCATGTAACTCCCCCACCCACAAACGTCCGACCGTGCTGTAACCCCACTACCGACCGCACTGTACCTCACCTATCCTGCACTCTTCACTTGTGTCCTGGTACATGGATGGAGTCTCCCTGGCCCTTTCCCTTCCTCCTTCCTTTTCCTTCTTCCACAGTGGTATTAGCAGTATTTTTTTCTTTATCACTTCTTTAGTTCTCATTGTCACTAGCTTATTTCCTTTCCACAAGCTGCAATATACCACCTGCCATTTACATCACCTCACCTCAGGTGATGTAAACTGTTTTTTTTATTTATTTATTTTTTTCTTTTAATGCAAGTGCCATTAGCCTAAAGGTAAACTCTACTTACACATATGAAGGCATGTCATCGGTCATATAAAATTACACCAAGGTGGAAGTAATGCATTGCGATTGCTTTGTTTCAACTTGAAACCTATTTAGTGTTTCACTTTCAGAACATTTACAAACTGGCTAACCCTTGAGCCATTTACAGTGAAGTCACTGCATATTTTTCATGACAATTAAAATGATCTATATTGAATTTAGAAGTTAGATTATGCATTGCTTCTGCTCAACTTGAGCCACAATTATAATGTATTCCTGCTGCTTCCACCTTTAAGTTGCACAGTGTATTGCAGCTGCTGTGTGAGAAAATAACGCAAATTATTTGTTTTTAGGGGTTTTAAAAGAGTTCTCTACATCAAAGCAGCTATATGAATGTTTGTTCATTGTTGTCTGTTTGGACTGATTGTACTCTTAGACCCCTTTCCATTAAGTGTAAAACTGTGATGTTCACATTATTTTGAGTTCCCATCTTGCTATACATAAGACTGCTACCTTTTGGTTTAAATTTTTGTGATTCTTGTTGGCTGTCAAGTTGAACAGAAAGCATGCTGGTCGAAGTTCTGCTTCTTGTAATTGGCTCATGCATGAAGCACTTACCTTGAGTTTCAGCAAAATTCAGCCATATTAGTTTCTGGGACCATTTTGTGAAACAACTGGGTTCATTTAAACTTTGTATTTCTCGTTATCGCTTCTATTAAGCCCACATTTCTTATCTCTTCCTGTTTTGGTCAAAAGTTGTCATTGAGAAGGAAACAGGCTGAATCTGGAAACTCAGTTTACTTTAGATCTCCTAATTCGCACCTAGAGGCAACAAATGTTTCCTTAAGTAACAGTGGAAAGTTTGAGATCCACCAAGAGGCACAGATGCACATTTGAAGTGTGCTTGGTCGGAACTGGGCAGACGTCCTGCTGTATCATGCTTCCCCAAACCAAGCCTTTGAAGCCTCCTAACTGGGCCACCCTGCCTGTGACTCGGGAATTAGCTCAAACGCTAACTAACTAACTGCTGTGCTACCCCACCAAAACGGCGCTGCTCCTGAGTGCCTCAATGCCTCCGTTCTCAACTACATACGGTTACACTGTTATTTTTACACAACCACTTTTTAATGAAGGAGTGTTGAACCCACAGTGGAAGATGCAAACTATTCAAGAAGTAGTGTGAGATAATAAATATGAGTCGGACGCATATAAAATCCAGGTCTCTCTAACTTAACCACTAGGCAAAATGCTTATTTTGGCACTTCAAACGTTTTTCTTCTTCCAAAGGGCTGACAGAAGTTGAACCATGTACAAGGCTGTATTAGTTAGTTAGAGTGTTAGTATCTTTTATAAGACTTTCAGCCTCCAAACATCGCTGTGCATGATCTCTTTCTTGCTGTGCTCTGGCAGAGGGATGTGGATTCGCCACTCCAAATAGCCCATGGTTTCCTATAACAAGAAATGTGTAGCAACAAAACAAGGAAACAATTAGGATTATGCTTGAGTAGGACATAACCACGACCTCTCATAATTTGCATACAGTGTGTTAGCAGCAAGTGAACAGGAGAAATGAAAGATGTGGGAGTTGCTGTATGTGAGGTTGGCTGTATTGCAGGGAGCCATTCGCATTGTTTAATGTTTGGAGAATGGAAATTAAGAGGCTCCGTCTCCAGATCAAAGGCCTGTGCTTGCGAGGCAGGGTTTGTTCAGAGTTTAATGAAATTCACCCTCAAAACAAAAGCTATGCTAATAAATTCTCCCGAACGAGGAAGGAGGAGAGGGAAAGGCAGAGAGAGAAGGGGCGAGAGAGAGCGGGGTGTATTTGTTTGACAAATAAATACCCTGCTCTTTGTTTTAGTGAAGGATACTGACATGATTCAAAGAGAGGTTAAATAGGCCTGTAAGTGCTGTGAAAAATGTTGGGGGGGAAAAAACAGACTCCAAATATGGAGAATCATCAATCTGAATTTGCAGCCCTATCATCTTACAGTACAGCCAGATGGAATAAGACATTTCCAGAGTAACACCATTTCAGTCGTCGGCCTGTTTGGATAATGGACAGACAATGGATGGACGGTCTATAAATCACTCGTCTCCTTTTTTTTTTTATCATTTAGAATTTGTACAAAAAAGAATAGACTGACATAATGACATACATTCTTGAGCAGACTGCAATCAATTTGATCTACAGTAGATTTTCAGTAAATACTTTTCATTTTTCCTCAAATGTGAATAAAATGTTGCTGCCAACAGTGATGGTGTTTTTAGCACTCCCAAGAAATTGTTCAAGATTTCAGACTTTCGCTGAATGAATAGTGGGGTACTATGTTTTATAATTTATAGTGATGCTCTGGCATGTCAGTTGAGCTCACAGCTCAGGGGGAAAACGTGGAGAATTATCTCATTTTGTGTTTAAGTGTTATCTTGTGTGTTTTGCCTGCTCAGCTCTGTGTTGTCTTGATCTTTTTGATATCTGTTATTTTCCTGGTGACTGCGAGTATACAAGCCATAATTCTATTTTCGGGTGAAATAATGCATAATGTGTGTGTTGTGTGTGTTTATTTTGTGGGGTTTTGTGTACATTCTTGTGTATGTATAAATGCACATGTGTGTGGAAATGTTTCTCTGTGTGTGTGTGTGTGTGTGTGTGTGTGTGTGTGTGTGTGTGTGTGTGTGTGTGCGCGTGCGTGCTGCAGTATCAGAGTATGCGTCTGTCAGATGTACACAGAAAAGCCCAGCTGTGGCGAGGTATAGTCAGCATCAGTCTGATAGAAGGTCGCAGCCTCCAGCCCATGGATGCCAACGGCCTGAGTGACCCTTACGTCAAATTCAGGATGGGGCACCAGAAGTACAAGAGCAAGGTACTCCATGTAGCTCTTGATTTGTAGCCCTGTGATCAAAGTAAGAAAGAAACCAGACTTGAGACAGGCCTTTTCAGTTATATAATACTTAGTAAATACACACTTTAACCACATGTGTCTTTGTAGATGGAAGATGTTTAATCACTCACAGTATCTCAAAAAAAGTGAGTACAACCAACACATTTTTGTAAATATTTGATTGTCTTTTCATATGACAACACTGTAGAAATGACAATTTACTACAATGTAAACTAGTGAGTGTACAGCTTGTATAACACTGTAAATTTGCTGTCCCCTCAAAATCACAATCACACAGCTATTAATGTCTAAACTGCTGGCAACAAAAGTGAGTACACCCCTAAGTGGGGGGAAGTGGGGGGGCCCAAAGTGTCAATATTTTGTGTGGCTACCATTATTTTCCAGCACTGCCCTGGAGTTCAACAGAGCTTCACAGGTTGCCACTGGAGTCCTCTTACCTCCTCACCTTGATTGACACCATCTAAACCAAATAAGTTTATCTTGGTCTTATGAGACCACAGGACATGGTTCCAGTAATCCATGTCTTTAGTCTGCTTGTCTTCAGCAAACTGTTTCCAGACCAATTTGATGCAGTGTGCGGCGTATGGTCTGAATAAAAGGAGCAACAACCTCCCCTTTTCCTCAGGAATACTGGCAGCACTCATACGTCTATTTCCCTAAGACAACCTCTGGATATGATGCTGAGCATGGGCACTCAACTTCTTTGGTCGACCATGGCAAGGCCTGTTCAGAGTGGAACCTGTCCTGTTGAACTACTGTATGGTCTTGGCCACCGTGCTGCAGCTCAGTTTCAGGGTCTTGGCAATCTTCTTATAGCCTAGGCTGTCTTTATGTAGAGCAACAATTCTTTTTTCAGATCCTCAGAGAGTTCTTTTCCATGAGGTGCCATGTTGAACTTGCAGTGACCAGTATGAGGGAGTGTGAGAGCGATGACACCAAATTTAACACACCTGCTCCCCATTCACACCTGAGACCTTGTAACACTAACAAGTCACATGACAGCGGGGAGAGAAAGTGGCTAATTGAGCTAAATTGGGACATTTTTATTTAGGCGTGTACTTTTCTTGCAAGCGGTTTAGACATTGATGGCTGTGTGATGTTATTTTGAGGGGACATCAAATTTACACTGTGATACAATCTGCACAGTCACTACTTTACAATGTAGCAAGGTGTCATTTCTTCAGTGTTGTCACATGAAAATATATAATAATATTTACAAAAATGTTAGGAGTGTACTCACTTTTGTGAGATACTGTAACTTCTTTTTTCACTTATCTCTTCATTCTTGACTTTACCTAAAGTATATTGGGAAGATGTCATGTTTCCCATTTCTGTGTGCATTTTTACAGAGTTCAGCCCTTTTTATTGTCTTATAAAGCTGAAAAAGTAAATGATTGACATGATCTTTAAACTATCTACTACTACTAACTACAATTGAGACACATGAACCACCAATGTATTTCCTTCTGCTGTTTACTCAGACAATTCCCAAAACGCTGAATCCCCAGTGGAGAGAGCAGTTTGACTTCCACCTGTATGATGAGCAGGGAGGCTTCGTGGACATTACAGTCTGGGACAAAGATGCTGGCAAGAAGGATGACTTCATGGGAAGGTACAGTGGTCTTCGTCAGTCTCTCTAGATATGTAACTATCTCAGTCTTTCGTCGCAGTTTATACGTGGAACAGTATACACTGCGACTGTTATGCATCTTTGACTTTTAGGACCTCTTCAAAAAGGTTAGGTCTTACATAAAAAGGTTGCACAATGAGGGTATTTCCCATCATTTTTGTTCAAAATTGTACAGATGAACTCAATTTTTACCTCCCGTTCAGTATCCATGAGTATAGCATCCCTGTGCAAATTTGAATTTCCTGAGGAAAAGGGGAGGTTTTCCTAATTTTCAGAATCAGAATGGAGGCACTAGAGGTCATTGCTTAAAAGTCTTTAGCCCAAGAGCAGTTAACTGGAGATATACTATGGGAATACCAGAAAATCAGTTCAGTAAAGTGAAGATGCTCTCAAGTGCCTACTTAAAGTTGTCTGTAGTTGCTTATATCCTGCACACATGACGCTTACTATGTGTATACTATTATTAGGCTGTTAGACTATTGCTATGCTCCTGTGCAATGTTCGACGTATGATATCTACACTGAACAAAATTATAAACGGAACACTTGTTTTTGCCCCCATTCATCATGAGCTGAACTCAAAGATCTAAGACTTTCTGTATTTACACAAAAGGCCTATTTCTCTCAAACATTGTTCACAACTCTGTCAAAATCTGTGTTAGTGAGCACTTCTCCTTTGCCAAGATAATCCATCCACCTCACAGGTGTGGCATATGAAGATGCTGATCAGACAGCATGGGTATTGCACAGGTGTGCCTTAGGCTGGCCACAATAAAAGGCCACACGAAAATGTGCAGTTCCATCACACAGCACAATGCCACAGATGTCGCAAGTTTTGAAGAAGCGTGCAATTGGCATGCTGTACGCAATTCCTGATGAATGGGGGCAAAAACAAAAGTGTTCCATATATAATTTTGTTCAGTGTATTTGATGAGGTGATAATGGAGTGGAGACTTTGTTTTTATAGGGAAATAAGAGACCACTCTCTGTGTGATTTCTATAACTTTAGCTAACTACTTTTCACATTTTCAAAAATGGCTATACTACCGTTTCTTTAAGTTAATCTTTATTGTCCACCGTATCTTTGCATGGTTTCAGCATAGTCAGCTTGCCCGCAAAATGTACAATACTCTAACTCTATAATTCTGTCTCTATTTGTTTGTGTGTGTGCACTTTAGGTGTACCATCAACCTGTCGCTTTTCGATAAAGAACGCACACACAAGCTCGACCTGCCACTGGAGGAAGGTGAAGGTGTGCTGGTGTTGCTGGTTACACTCACCGCTTCCGCCGCCGTTTCTATCTCAGACCTGTCAGTCAACATGCTGGACGACCCACAAGAGAGACACCAGATCATGCAGAGATATGTGAGTTTATTGAGAGTGGCCTTGTGTTGTGTGAGCACTTCAAAACAGAGTGGTTACAAGCATGGTTGTAACCAGCTATGAGGTCACCGAGGTCAGGACCTCTGTAATTATATGTAGCCTATAGGCTATTACCCATCAATAAAATAATTGAAATAAAAACCACTGATAACACGATCTCGCTCAGTGTCCACACTTGGTGAAACACATGAAAACCTTGTGCATGTAATAACGATACATTCTGTGAATTTTGGGGTGGGTGACATAGGCGTCTCCCCATTAAGAGAGACGCTGTGTGCATTTACGCACGGGGCACAGCAGCCTAACTTCATATTTAAATCTCCTGACACGCCAACAGGATCAGTCAGAATCTAATGTTAATTTATGTTCTGCAGCAATTGTCCTCCTGATCAATCTCTGTCTAAATTTTTTTTAGAAGCTAAAAGTAGAATTATGTTTCCTCTGTAGAGTTTCCTCTTTGTGTCCTGTCAGGTTTATAACTATAGTTTTTAGTTTTGCTGCATAAATGTCCCACAGTATTTCTTGTGACATTACTGTGCCCATGGAAACGTTTAAAATGACTGACAGCAGCCTCTCTAATCAATAAAGTAAACTGTTAAAGAAAACACTCATCAGTACAATAAAGAAATCACCTTGAAAGTTAAAAGTACTGGTAGAGGTGGGATAAATCTGAGAAAATCACTTGAGATTAGGGATGCAGTGATTTCCGGGTTTCACTATTAACCGGGCTTTAAAACGTCACGGTTAATTAATCGTAAAGGCTCCACTATACTGAGTGTTTCTGTTGCAGGGAAAGGAACGGTTGCAACTTGCACAGAATGGAAAAAAAAAAGTTACACGAGCGGTGCACCAGCTTAAAGTGCCAGGCTTATCAGAGACATGGAGGCTACTAATGTACACTGGCTAAACTCTGGCAGAGGGACCAAACCAACCTCATCTCACAGGTTGGACCAAACTGTGAAGCTTTATTTCCACCAAAGAAACGGTTGAACTCAGCAGTGTGGGAGCATTTCGGGTACACCAGGGTGTTACTGAAGATGACGGATCACCTGTTCAAAAACTTGCCATTAAAACGTTGCTGCTAAAGGAGCGAAAATCTATATCAAACTTGATGCAACACCTGTGGGCATCTGACTATAATCGTACCAACAAAATCTGTAATCGTTGCATCCCTAGTTTAGATGAGACAATGAGATATTGTCGCAGCCGATCTGCATCACACCAGTGTAGCTCCCATAATCATGACAAAACAGTGCAAACAGCTGCTGACGTCAGATTATTAGGCTGTAATATCAACCAGAGCATTCAGCACTGACCTGCTGTATTTAATGCTGTCATATAGAAACGGTAGTGTCCATTATGTAGTCTGCACGTCATTTGCACACTGTGTTCCTCCCTGTCAATAGGGGGTGCTGCAGCACCCTCTGCCCCTTTCCTGCGTGCTTGTGTGACATGCGTCAACACGTCCAAGTTGCAAAGACAAGGAAAAGTATTGCTTCTTTTGTGTCATCAGACTGTGTCAAACAACTCCCTCATCAGACTTCTGCGTGTTCTAAAGCCACAATTTATTCACATTTTATGAAGAATATTACTTTTACATCAACAAGTATCTTTTTTCACAAGCTAATGTGCTGAGATTTGATATAAGCTGTGGTGTGAAGCTGCGTAGAAGAAGTGGAGAGAGCAGAGGAGTGGGTGAAGAGGGAGATTCACAAAAGGAAAGGGAGGAAGAAACACAGGGGAAGAGAGATCACAATTCTCTCACAGGCTCTACTGAGACTTACTATTTGGAAAGGATGGAGGCTCACATCGCTAATTTGTTTCTGTTGCTATGATTCACATCACACGTATTGTGCAGTATTTGCATTAGCATCATGCACCGAGTTGTGTATGTTATTTTTGTGATAAATGCATGTGGGCTCATTTATTAATGTGTAAAATGTCTTGGCTTGTCAGCCAGTTGTCATTGATTTGAGCATATTATTAGAGAGAGAGAGAGAGAAAGAAAGCGAGAGCCCTGTGGCCCCATCTGCTTCAGAGGCCCTCCACTCAACACAATGGTTTCAGCCTATGTCTTTGTCTTAGCCTAGTTAACCCTTCACACCCTGTCATCCTCACTCTATGCTACAAAGAGACACTCACACACAACTCACACACTTTCAGTAGATTTAATTGACTGACAGCCTTGACATGGGACATTTTTCTGCACAGAACAGAATGCTGTGTGGTGTGATCACTCAATGCTGCAGCCATATTTGTTTTCAGTCATAACTTATTTCAGTAGAAAATGTGAGATTTGTTCACTTTTTTTGTGTCATTTAGGACTTGATAACAAAAAACAGATACAACATTTGTTTAATCATTATTGCAGCTATTACATTTAATTATCTAGGAGAGTTTTGGAACACATTGTCCCATGAGTACCACTTAGTTGCGTGTTCTTTTATGTGCGGGTGTGTTTAAATACTGTATGGTGACTAGCTGTGTGTGTCTGAGATAATAGGATGTGTTCTAATTTCAGTTAACCGTACGTCCCAGCCGGTATATGTTTGCGTTGTTCGGTGTGTGCATAGGCACCAGTGGTGAGGCTCCACAGGCCGAACACGGGTGCCACGACCTACATAACCGTGGCGGTGCCTTATTGGCTAGCCACAGGAGGTTGGCCACTCTGCTTTCTCCGCGCTGCAGCAACCACCCGAGGTCAGAGGGGGGAGCTCTAGGACTGAGACACACACACGCTGTGCGTCTCCTCACAGCCACAAAATGAGGATGGGGAGCTTGAGCGGGTGTGTGTGTGTGTGTGTGTGTGTGTGAGTGTGTGTAATAGGGGGCGAGAGGTAAAGGATGAGGGTTGCACCGGGAAGGGAAGGCGTGTAAAATGAAAAGAAAAAGCTATTTCACCTCTCTCACAACTCGTGCAGACCCCGTTTTTCTGCTCGGCTGAAGGCGAGACATTTTCCTTCCTTCGCTTACCTCTTTTCCTGCCTCCTCTCTCCCGCACTCCCCATCTCTGTCCTGCTCTCCCGGCAGCCTCGGCTCTTTGTCTGTCGCCGCTGTGGCCTTCCTGTTAGATGAAGGGATGAAGAGATAGAGGGTGGAGGAAGGTGGGGTGTTGCAGATGTAGGGGTACAGTGAGGTCGGTTAGAAGACTTGAATGGTCTCTACCTATTAACATATTCCTTTTCCCCAGACTGGCCGTCTTTCAGTTGGAGAATTTAATAAAGATGTACCTTATCAAAGAGCTCTGATAAGACCAAGTACCACCACTAATACATAACAGTGCTGCTCAGAGCCGACTAATCTGCCCTGTGTGTGTGTGCATGCATGTATAGGTGTATGTTATTATGCTTGGGCACATTTTTACAGACTGCTATTATCAGCTTGAAATCAGCTGTCGAGCACAAGCCTGCACAAAGCATCCACTACTGCTAATCACAAACAGGCACACACATACAGACACATGCAAAAACAGTACCTTACTGCATCAGCTGTCTAATAAAAAAGAAGGGGGTTGGTGGAGCAATACAAGTAGCATGCTGTCATCATCACAGCTTTAAAGAGCAGATACCTTCACAAATGAGAATGAGGAAGACGCAGCAATGGAAATCTTTTGCTCTTCCCAGCCTTCAGTAGTGTACCCCACCCCGCTCATCATGAAAATACACACATCGGATTACTTTAAGGCGGTGTGTAGCAATGGCTTGCAAAGTGTGGATATTGTATAAAAAACACGTACATGCGTGCACACTTTAATAACCTGAATCTCTAAGAAGACGGAACCGATTTTAAATCCTGATTCCCTCCTAGATATGTCCTTGTCACTTTGTCTCACACACATGCGCCTATACACACACCACGCCTTTTGTGGTCAAAATGAGGTCACTGTACTGTATTTGGCAGGTGTTTTTTCCTCATCCCAATCTGTGGCCATTGACGAAAGAAGATAATAGACACCTGAGTGCTGGGATCTGATGCTAGCGTAGAGCTCATTAATGTCTCTCTCATAGCCGTTCTGAATTGTGACTTCTTTGTGTGTGTGTATGCCTGCCAGGTTTGTGACTGCCTCTGTATACTTGCATGTAGTGCATGTATGTGTCTGAATGAGTACACATGATTTTTTGAACGGCAGAGCTATATACAACGCAATGCAATACACTTAGTGACAACTGCCTTAGATGTACTATTGCTCATCGTAACCTTTCCTTCATCCTTAATTACTGTTTCCCAGATGTAGAGACGGACAGAGAAAGAGAGGGAAAAAGAGAGGAAGAGATTTATGCATTATGACGGCAAAGGAGCACACACACTAATGGCTCTTAATGGGCCTAAGGTGGCCGCAAGATGGGTGGATGAGATGAGGAGGACATGATGACCTCCGCTGAAGTGGTGGCAATTCACCACCCACCACCATGTATGTGTGCGCGCGCGCACACACACACACACACACACACCCCTGCAGTACCTCTCCCACCCACTCTGGTGCACTACACTAAGGTGAAGAGAAAGGACACAACCTGGACAGGAAGTGAGATAAGGGGCTGCAGTAAAGTGTGGGACGGGCGGAGGGCAAGCTTTGACAGTGGATCTTGACAGACAGTAATATTGAGTTGATAAACAGGCGTGGGAAGTGGAGGAAGTTGTTAGCATTTGGTTTGTGTTTGAGCTTTTCACTTGATTAAATGTCCCTTTTAACTGCACAGCTGCTGGGCAGATGCTTTGTGTGTGTCTGTGTGTGAAATGTTACATGGAGCGCTGATGAAAGGTGACACGATGCAAAGATGACAGCGAGTCATAAGCCTATGCCGGGGCTGATTCATTTGTGTTTGTGTGTCTGAGTGTGACAGAGACGGGAAGAAGATGTCACAGTGACAAGATGTCATTCACAGACAGGGTGGGGGTTTGTTTCATGAAAGCCAACTCTGTCCTTACATTTTTCTCCTCTCTTCATCCCTGCCTTTCATCTCCTCCTCATCCCCATCATTCCACCTGCATGCTGATGGGGGCGTGGGGAGACTCATGAGGCGGTGGGGGTTGGTCTCTTTTTCTCTACCTGTCTGTCTGTCTGTCTGTCTGTGTACTCCATCATTTGCTGTCTATCTTTCTGATGAGGATTTGAATCTTTGTGGAGGATGGGTGTCTTCTCTCTACCAATCATGGATTGAGGCTGAACTCTGTCCCCTCAGGGAGCTTGTATGGTTGGAGGAAGGGATGGACTGTGGATGATGGGTTGGGCGGGGTGAAAAAAATATCTCTGCATCCATACATTAAAGAAATTTCTCATTTTTGTCATTCAGTCTCTGTTCTGTTGTGTGTATCTGTGTATCAATATGAAATTACAATACTATTGTCTTTTTGGTACAATACCAAAATATGGTACTTTGTTGATACTGTACTTCAGTCCATATAAAAATGTTTTCCTACTTTTTTTTCATTTAACAAGAGAAGCCAAACTTTTTAAATGTCCAAACACCAGCAGCTATACAAGAACTTTGCCTAAACAAAATACTGTCCAAAGTTGGCAAATCTTTATTTATTATTTCAGTCTGAATAAACAAGTAAACATGATTACAAAACTGACCAATAAAATACGGTCTCTACTGGTAAAATGAAGTGATGGGAGTCTGTAAATATCTGACTGAATAATAAGAATTGATCTAGCTTTCGATCTAGATTATAATATTCATTGCTACAGTTGCATTTTGGCCAGTCCAAAAAAGTATTGGCGTTAAATTCCCAGGTAGGCGCTTGGCATCACGGCGTGTTCTACTGTTGAACACTATCACACTAACTAGTCAGGCTTTAGTTTGCCCTCGTCTCTTGCCTTCCGCATGCCCTCTCTCTGACTCTTTTTCTCTCTGTGTCTTGCTTTTTGGCTGCTCCCCAATAATCACAACAAGCAGCTGTATCTTCAGAGAAATCGTGCCTTAAAATTGAGAGTTGTCCCCTCTCTCTCTCTGTATGTCTCTCTTCCTTTCTCTTTCACACACTCTTTCCCCCTCTTTCTTTCACACTCTCTCCCCTCTCATCTCCTTTAGAGAGCTTTTGGACAATGATATCGCTGGAAACAGGCAGAGTCTGACAGAGTTGGTAATAATGAATTAAGTCTGTAGCCTGGCCCTGACTCTGAAATTTAAATTATAATTACTCCTGTGGGGATGGAAGGGGTTATTGCCAGAGAGAGAGAAATAAATTGAAGTGAAGTGCATTTCCACTCTGCTTTTAAGACACGCCGACATGCTACTCAATTTGGCCTCAGTGTAGGTTTTCTATGCATGTGTTTATACCTGAGTATTTGGGTGTGAACAAAAGCATGAGTTTATGATTGTGTGTGTGTCTCTCAGTGTGTCCCTCATGCCTCATGGCCCAGCCGTTGATCTCCACAGGTCTCCCTTTATTCGGCAGATTTACAGACTAGATTTTATGCAGTGATCATTCTATCTCTTGGTTGTTAAAATCTTGTGCGCAAAGCATTTCCCTTCTCACTTCAGATAATCACAGGGCCTCATGGCATCTCTTGACTGTGTATGTAAATGAGGCAAGTGTGTATGTGTGTGTAAGGCTGTGTGCTTGACTTTTTGTTTTACAGTTGAAGTGTTTATCGTGAATGTTGCTGTGTTTTGTTTAGTCTTTCTTCTTCTGCTGATACTAACGCTGCTATTCGCACACCCTCTTAACACCTCTCTTAAACACAACACTGTGAGGAAGCAATTCATGTTGTGACTAAAAAAGTAAATGCCAGCCAGCTTTTTCAGTTGAATTACCTAGACTGACACTGGTCTATGGAGCAAATCAGCTTTGGGTTCATACAATAATTGCAATTTGTTAAAGAGGAGAAAGGGTGTTCAAATCACACAAACATTTTCTGGCACATCAGTTTTCAAACTCAGGTCTGAAACTGAGGTTTCACACTCTCCTCAAAGTCGATATACAAAACAATATAAAAAACACTGCTTTTCACTAAAACGCAGTAGGGAACTCTTTTCTTTGTAACTAATTCATTTTTAAGGGAAAAGTTAATGGAAAAGTAGTTTATAAGATGTCAGAAATAGGTATAATGCTGAAATCTATTTGGTTTATTTACTTTTTGTGATGATGTTCTACTTAACGTGTTAGTGTTAAATGTGCTCTATTATAACTCCTATTTGTTCTACTTTTATCTGTGTACTGTTTTTATTCGCTGTAACCTATTAACAATATATGTCTGCATGGCGCATTCTTTACTAAAATCAATTCCTTTAAACATTTTAAACAGCTATTCAGTGAAATTCAGTTTGTCCATTTGTACTCCATTAGACTCAACTATAAATGCCAGATCTACATTTTCAAATAAGGACTGTTAAGGGACATATTTTACCCTTTCCTCTCTTAATGAAATGTCAGGCTATTGAACTGCCTTTCTCTTCAATGCTAATTTTCTGTCCACTTTGACTTTTCACCCCTGTTCTTGTGATGTTTCAGAATCTGTGGAGGTCATTCCATAACCTGAAAGATGTCGGTGTGGTGCAGGTAAAGGTCATCAGGGCTGAGGGACTGATGGCAGCAGATGTCACAGGTAAGACAATGACCTTAAGTCCGAACAACCACACTATAACCTTGTGAAAAGTTATTCTCTTAATTTTTCTCACATATTCATGCACCTCAAAATAATCTAAAACATTTTTGCTGTTGTTTTGCAATTTCTGTTGATACTTTAGTATGACAGTGAGCACTGATAGGTAACCCTATCAATTACAAGAGGTTGTTTTTTTTTTTTTGGCTTTTGCTTGAGTTTTGCATCTAGACATTGAACAATTTCTGAGGCACATTTTCCTCCACCAGCAATCTGCCATAAATCTAGCCAAAGATAAAGTTGGGGTGTAATTTTGGTTTAAGGGATGATCCTCTGCGAGAATCCTCAGAGTGTTAAAGTTTGCTTTTGTGCAGGACGCTAAATTTGTCTCTGCATTTTTAGAAAAGATGCAGGCTGCTCATTTGAATAATAGAGAAAAAGTACATATTTGAACCAACAAATCTCTCTCCCTCCTCCTCCCTCCTCTTGCTCTTTCTCTGCCTGCTCTCTCTGAATCCTCCATTCTCCATTAATTCTTACTTTTAATTAGGTCTACAGTGGACAGGCCTAGTTCTTCACTCTGTATTATCTAGTAGAGAGAGAAGGGTGTGTGTGTGTGTGTGTGTGTGTGTGTGAATGAGAGTCTAGAGTTTTTCTCCATTTGAATCAGCCACAGTCCCATTAGCCAATACAGAGTGGAGCTGGTTGATTTGGGTTATTGCGTGGAGCGACCGGAGCAGCCGGAGTGCAGGGCTAATGGCTCTCTGGCTCTTGTATTTCACTTGGAGCAGAAATATGCTCTGTGACCTCGTTGTAGAGCTCATCATTCAGTCTGAGCTTCATGGATCCTGCTGGAAAAAAAAGAGAAAAGAAATGAGTAAAACTGTGGAAATATAAAGTCTACTGGTTTGTTTGCCTTTCCCAATTTGACATGGTCATCGAAAACATGTTGGATTTCTGAACAGTGTCCTTTCCGGCCTGTAGTGATTTATATTGCTACGGGCTTACCTCACAGTAAAAGTGAAGCATGTCTTGTGGTGTAAAACAGGGCGCACATTTTACATAAAACTACTAAGACTGAATACAACATGCTTTTTGGAGGTGGTTTTAAGATGCCAACATTTGCATTAGTTTGTGACTAGTTTGTTAGTTTTTATTTAAAATGGGAACAGTTTAATTTGTGTGTTTCACATGGAAAACTACTAAAGGGACTATATTCACAAAAAACAAGCATTGGCTTTGGTTTCACACATAATGTTGTTGTTATAGCCAAAGCTATCTCAGATTTAGACAGTCCAATATGTAACCTTATTTGAATTCATACATTCTTGCAAGCACAAAGGAAATGTATTTCTTCTGTCACCCCGAAATGCTTTCTTTCAGCCAGTCTACAAACCCTACAAAGATAGACACAGTTAGAAACAGATAACAGACAGGCAAAGGGGTTGTTTCTAGATGGCTTATTCTTGTTTTTAGTCTGACGTACGTGGGTGTGTGTGGGTGGGTGTGTGTGTGTGGGTGTGTGTGTGTGTGTCACTGACAGAAACAATAGCTGTGTAAGAGCGGCCTAAGAGCCCTCACCGCATGAACACCCTATTTTAACAGCCCAGACCAAGAGAGGGTCAGGAGCAAGGTGAGAGAGAAACAGACGGACAGACAAACAGGCGGGGGGGGGGTCAGCGAGATTGAAAGAGTTCACCATCTCTCTCCCATTCATGCTGCCTTTCTCCTCTCCTGTCGTTTCCCCTCCTCCTCCTCCTCCTGTCTCTCCCCTCTCTGGCCATCTCTATCTCTAATTGAAGTGTTTTTGTGGAGTAGCTCCTCTCCAGCCCGAGTAGGATAACTGAAAATAGTCTCTAAAACCAACAATCCCTTTTGTCTGCCAGCTCTTGTCCCTATGAGTGGATGCTATACTGTTAGAACATTTTAATAATAACACACACGGAAACACACATGCACGCACACAGTTCTGTTTCCATCTCTTTCAGGAACAATACATTGACACAATAATTCCCTGGAGAACCATAACCATTAATTGTCTAAACCTAAACCTAGCTGGAAACCAAGTCTTTACCCTAAAATTGAATGAATTATTATTACATTATGGGAACACACACACACACACACACACACACTTCCAGCAGCAGTTCAACAGTATCTATTTTTTTCACTCAATATCAAAACAAAACCTGTCAGTAAAGTGTAGGTTTTTCACCGCATCACAGGAATACTGTAGATAACCTTGTATAGCCTATTTAAAGAATTTGAAATGCTACAAAAATGCGATTGCTTTCAGTTTTAAAATGTGAATTATAATTATTTGTGATTATACAGGAACATGAGAGTTTGCGTTTTTTCTAAAACCTCAAACTTCTCACTAAGTCTAAGCGTCCCGCGAGGCAATTACAGCACGTTCCCTCGTCTCCGTACTCTATTCATCTTCCACACTCATCTTAGGGCACCCTGAAATGAGTTTGAGCCGGCTCGTTGCTGCAAACCCTCTTCCAGTGCCACAGAGATGGGACCCAGAGGGGGGAGGAGCTTTGCTTGGACATTACCTGGATGATCTCTGAGTGGCGCTCAAACCTGAGCGTGTAATTGGTTAAGACAGCCGCCTCTGGTGCTGGCGGCCAATAAGGTGAAAGTTCATCACCAACGACAACTGGCTCTCTGCGGCAACACAGCCTGCCATGTCATTAAAAACAGAATATTAGAGAGAAAATGGGGGAGGGATGGGGTTCTGCAGAAATAATTTCCATCTCTTAATTTGGGTGATTGCATTTAAATTTAATCAGACCTGATTTGGGGGGACAACATTATGATCGTTTATGCTATGGAAGCTTGGATGATTAAGGAGGATTTAAAATATTCACTACTATAAAAACATTGAATGAAAACTACTGCCAAAAAAACATTCTTACTTGTTTACAATTTTAAAATATATTTGTGTGTTTTCATAATGGGTCCATGGGTTGCATTTTAATGTTCTCTGCAAGCAGTTTATATGGCTACGAAGAATGTATAGAAAGATGCATTGAAAAGCAATCTCTTGAGTCAATTGTCTTTTTTCTATTTTAATGTGTCTTGTTTTTTATCGTAGGAGTCATAGCTGTCAATATCCACTTCAAACACCCTACATCAATAGAGCGACACAAACAGATATGAAAGGCAACACCTACGGCTCAGCATTGATCACGGTGACATTTACTTTGCACACCCACTAAATGTCCTGCCCTTGTCACAACATTTGAAGAAAATCATACCAATCAATGACACTTACACAGACACACGCACATACACACGCACATACACAAATGTGGCTAGGGGCTTTGAACTCAATCCCAACTTTATTGAGTCTTATTATGCAACATTACTGCTTTACTTATACACTCATATTCGCAATATTTTCCATGGGAATTCGTGTGGGACATTTTTTTATTTTTTTTTTACTTCCTGACCCAGCCTTTTCAAGTGATAAGCTTGAACAAACAGCGCAACGGCTCCCAACAGTTTTGATAAAAAATTATGATCAAAGCCAGAATAAATAGTTTAGTTGTTTTTTTTTTAGTTCATTTTGAGGCAGTCGAAGGGAGGTGGGCTGGCAGGCATGGGGAGCTGGTCTCACTCCTTTCTGTGTACAAAGAAATTGAAATGTGAGATGTTAGTAAACAAATAGAGAATATATAGGACATTACTGGTTTTGATTATTATAGTACAGTGTGCTATTCTCAGGAGGAGGAAATAACTTATGTTTATTTCTCCTCTCGGTCTCTCTCACCCAGTTACATAACTGTAGTAAATTATGAATTGAAAGTTTTGTTGGAATGAATTAGCATTAATGAATATGATTCATAGTAAACCATATATCATATCATGTTTTATAACATCTACGGGTTTTAAAGTTCTCACATAGTGTATTAAAGTTTTATCATTTGGCAGCGACAGGCCACTCAAACTATTTCATATGTGATTTTAAAATGACTTATTTTGTAGAGTAAATCTACATTTGGATATGTTTTTTTATTATTGTAAAATGTTATTTGTGTAATATTGATGAAACTAGTATTGCTGTCAGCGTATGAAACTCCAGCAGTGATTTCCCTGTGAAAAACACAAATTTTTATTTTAATAGCCAAAGACATTTCACTGTTTTTATCAATTTACATTCCTGTCAATAGAACAAAGGAGAGGTGATGATGAGGAAACTTCTCTCTGTCATCGTTTTCTAATTTAATTCTCATGTTGTTCTTGCTTTCACTTATTTTTTTCCACCATGTTGTTGCCGCTACCGTCTCACCACTCGCTTGGAGTCGCTAATTATGGACCAGCTATGTTTCTCACTCCCCTGCTCGACTGTCGTTATCTTCTACTTTGAACCTCTCTGGCCTTCAGAGCCACATCGCCCTCTGTGTTTTCAGCGCCATCCATTCTCTAAGTCTTCTCCCTCTTTTTACTCTCCCACCCCCTCCTTGTGACTGCCCAGGGCACAGTTGTCCTGGAGCTTATCTTCTAGTTGTCCGTGTTCCCAGGGTGTTGATAGAAACGGTTTGCAGCTGTTCCACTGATATATTGTTTTATAATATATACTAGAACAGAATCATATTATTACAGTTCTGATAAGTCCAGGATATTTGAGCTGTCATGTCATATAAGGGGAGGATGCTATATACTATCTGTCTTAATAATATGAGGGATTGAAGATAGACAAAAGCTGTTGGAATTAAGATTCTCGCTTTCCTTGAGACCTCAAGCTGACAAAAGTATCTACTGTATTTACGTCTCTGCTCTCACTAAGAAGGTCATTCTTGCATGTTTGTTTTCTTTTGTCCTCGGCAGGTAAGAGTGACCCATTCTGTGTGGTGGAGCTGAGTAACGATCGGCTGCAGACGCACACTGTCTACAAAAACCTCAACCCAGAGTGGAACAAGGTCTTTACTTTGTGAGTGGCTTTTACGATACTCAAATGTTTGCATGCACACAGATCATACAGTTTTTGTTTTACTGCAATAATGAAAGTACAAATGGATGTTTTCATTGACATGTATATTTTGAATTAAACGTTAAGTCAGAGCAACAGTCTCACAAAAAAAAAAGAAATATAATCACATTTTTAAAATTCCAAGCATTCAGCTTTGTTTTTTTTGTGTTTCTTTTAAATAAATTCTAGACTGATCTGAACATTGACAAAATAGGTATTGCTCACAGTTTATAGTGTGGAATGCTATTTTTATGAATGAGCTTATACTTATTTAACTTAATAGTCACAATCATTGTGAATAGAACTGCTTATTTAACAGTGTTTTAAAATTGGTTTTATTACTGCAAACAAATCCAGGAAGACAAAGGAGGCTCGTCACATACAGTATTTCCTTGTTCCTTTTTCAAATATATAGTTTTACTGCGGCTGTAGTTAATTGTTAATATAATTTGTCATATATATTTTATATATAGTGTGTGTAGATATAGCGATAGATGGATAGATAGATAGGGAGTGAGAGAGAGAGAGATGAGATATAGATTTTATTCCAGAGTACAAACTTGTGAATTCCCAGTGATGGGACAGGTTAATTTATATCTTTCTCACAGCCTCCTTTCTATACATAACATCAGCCATCTTCTTGCTAGCCTAGTTTTCAAAAGATGACACGTCTGAGTGTCACACTTTAGTTCTACTTAGCTCATGCAGTAATTTAGTGCAGTTTCACATAAAGTATGTTAATGGTAATGTTTAAACATTTATGTAAATGTTATAGAGGGTATTCAAATATAAGGCTTGTTCCTCATATAGTGTTTTAGGTTTTCTCTTTGTCTTTAATATTTGAAGAAGCTTGTACAAGATATGATAGCTTTCACACTGTTTCAGATTGTGGCCCATAATTCAGTATATATCCTATTGGTGTTGTCTTTTTGTGTGGTCCAGTAACGTGAAGGACATCCACTCGGTACTTGAGGTCACTGTTTATGACGAAGACCGAGACAGAAGTGCAGACTTCCTTGGGAAAGTGGCTATTCCTTTACTAAATGTGAGTCAAAGACAGTTTTCTGTGTGTTTCTTTTTCTTTTCCTTTTCCTTTGGGGATAATAGTGAGAACATAGAGGAATGGAAAAACGAAAACACACAGTTGAAGATATAAAAAGCAGAGGTTATTTTTGCAACTCCACAGATGAGACTGTTATTATTTCACAAAGAGAAAGAGATGACAGGAAGGAGAAAAAGTGGAGGAGAGGCTGAGAAAAAAGAAGAGACTGATAGGTGAGAAGAAAGAAAGTGAGGGGATGAGAGATGATATCAAAATGACACTGATCGAGAAATGGAATGATGCGATTTAGAGAAAAACAGAAAGACATTGTCCCTTTATATGTGGGAAAAAAATATAGATGGCCTGTGAAAGAACTGTGTCTAATATATCCATGCTCTGCTGTACAGTATGATTCCCCAGGATAGTTAATTTCTGTTTGACAGAGCCGAGCTGCAGTGGGTAATGAACAGGTACTTGTCAGAGTTGCCACAGTTGTTTTGGGTTCCCTGTCAGCGCCAGCAGCTGGGGTTCAAAGGTGGCCCGGGGAGCCGATTCTGCCGGGTATTGCCAGACAGACGCCTGTCATGTCCCTCTCCCACAGATCCAAAATGGAGAACGCAAAGCCTACGCCTTGAAAAGCAAGGAGCTGACAGGGCCAACAAAAGGGGTCATCTTTCTCGAAATAGACGTGATTTTTAATGCTGTAAGTCTTTCTTTTGCTTTTTTTGATTCTCCTTACTGATTTTTTTTATTTATTTTTGCCCCCCACCCCCCCATTATCCCCTCTCTCCATCCCTCTCTTGTTCTCTCCAGCATCCCCCCCCCCACGCTGCTGTTGTCTTTATTCTGTTTGTCCTCCCCCCTCCCTCGCTTCCATCTCGTCCCTTGTCCCTCGTCCTCGTTTTGGCTTTAATTATCGAAGACTCCCTCTCAACAGCCTTTGTTCGCCCATTCATCATCGCTGTGTGTGTCCTATTGCGGCCATCTTACAGCTTTTTCACGCTCTCTTTAGCCTCTAACGTCGGGCATGCTCTATGCATGTGCTGTCATGTTAAATCAGTACACTATGTTAGAAAAACCTTCAAAATGATCAAAATATAGTTTTTCGCTATTTCATTGTCTTCATCCCCACTATTTTATTTATCTGTATTGTTTTGAATTAGTGTCTATATATTCATGCTCACCGTTTGCTGTGTATGACACTGTGTGTGTTCACTCCATCCTCCAGGTGAAAGCTGGTCTCAGGACGTTGATTCCCATTGAGCAGAAGTATATTGAGGAGGAGCCCAGAGTGTCCAAACAGGTACATCAGCAGCCAACACTTATTGTCTACCGCTGTGCCTCATTTTTATCTGTGTCCACCACAGTACCCCCTTTCTGCTTAACTTTCGTAAGCAAAACCAACACGCCTGGAGAGTGGCATCTTGTAAACCACAACAACTGTGTGGGCAAGCTACAACAGGGTGATTGAAGGAAAAACAGCATTTTGTTTCTTTTTTCTTCCCTCCTCTCTCCCTTCTCTCACCCCCCCACCCCCACCCCCACATCCACTCTGAGTGGTGAATAGAAATGTCAAGCTGTCAGCTCTGGGGTGCATAAGTAGATTGGCCATCCTTATAGTTGGCCCTCTTTGCCACTGCTGCTTTGCACTTCATTGTCACACCGCTCAGTGTGGCGGCACCACAAAAGGCTGAATAGTAGGGGCTGGCCCACATCAGACATGTCATATGAGTGACCGTTTGGGCTCAGCAGTCAATGCTGCGCCATGCACAGCCGAGCACAACCCTGACCAGCACAGCACAACACACACACCAGCTCCCATACCACCCTTTTGTCAGCCCTCCATCTATTCCCTTCTTTCCTCCCTGTTTCTGCATTCTCTGTTGCTCTCTGTCTCGGGCCAACTCTACGCTATTCTCCCAAGTGCGGAATCCTTTTTTCATCTCCATTTCACCTCTGACTCATAGAGATGACCCATGTCAGCGTCTCGCAATGATGATGTCACTGGCTGCTTTGGAGGGATTGCCCCGTGAGGGCTCTTTTGTGTGGTAGCAGCTCCCCTGCTGTTGCTTGCTGCTCAGTGTGCAGACACACACACACAGAAAAGAAAAATAAAACAGCTGCCTGCCAAACAAAACCATTTAATTGTAATTATGACATTTGACTCTTTTTAAAGGAATAACTCAAGGCACTCTTTGAAATAATTCATGAAAAATGAAATATTCTTATCAAGGCAGTTATGGCAGTAATGAGCCCAGAAGACTACAGAATGTACATCAAGTGCATGCGCCAAGGAACGTGGAAATGGATGATTCACAGTCTTGCTGTCCTCAGGGTCTGTGTGTCCCCAGCAGGACACCATACAGTCATCCTCAGTTTGGCAACAAAAAGCTTCACATAATTATACATAGAGTAGGAGGAATCCTTCTCTCATCTAGCATCAAAGCAGCCAAGCCACCCCTAACCACATGCAAATGCACCCGGAAACACACATACATACAGACAATAGACTTTACTGTAGTGCTGCAAACACATACTGTATACCCACAGTATACACACATTCAAACGCACACACAATTTTCCAAAGCGTAAAATAATGGCCTAGAATTTTTTTGAACAGCGATCTGCAGAGACGGTTTGTCCTTTGGGAGCACTTTCTCCTGGTGGTGACCTGATTGGGTGGTTGGTGTTCTGCACTGCTGTTATGTTATTCCCTGAATGGTTGGCAACCCAGGGGAGGACAGCAGTTAGCCAGTTCTCTCATATCTGGCCAGAATGCATAGAGAACCCTCAGGGAGGACAATCCAGGGACTGTGTTGGAAATTATTATTTTACTTAACTTTATCACTGGGAGAGTAGACTTAAAGAAATATTGTGAGTCAGCTTGTCACACTTTAAGTGACCGTTTGTCCCATATGCTGATCCACATCCATATATAGCTATCTAAAGAAGGAAAACACACTAATGTCCTCGCGATGTCCTCAGTGCTGTAATATTGAAGCCAAAGTGAGGTCAAAGCTGCAAATCTCAAGTTGTAAAACTTAATGCTCCAGTTAACTTTCCAAAGTGACAGCAAAATGAGACACTACAGGGTTTGAACCTACCATACTAAGACTTACTGACAGTATGTAATTTTAACTAAGGTGCTAATAATATGATGTAACATATTTACTTACTAAATTGTGATGAATTCACACCTTAACCAAATATGAAGGAGACACAATTGACCTCTTTCACAGTATGTCCTCACAAATGTCAAGATCAGAGATGGACTAATAGCTGCGCTTATTTTTGTAGACAGATCATTTTACTCCTGTTTATCTTTTCCAAACAGTGTACAGGAGTAGCTAATGTGGAAAACTCACTAAACCATGATGTGTTTTAGTGTTTTTTCCAATTATACTTAGCTACCTGCCAAACAAAGTCTCACCAGTTATCCACATATACACAGTACAGTATGTTATCATGTCTGTCCATATGCTTATGTACTCGATTCAATTAAAAGGGCTTTATTGGCATGAATGTTTTGAGAACAGTGTTGGCCAAGCATCCAAGTATGTAGAAAGCACACAATATATATGCTTTATAAACATGGTATTTGGTACAGTTTAAAAAAAGCAAGGTTACAGAGTGCATTTATATCGCAACAAGCAAAAGAACTAGAACTGAACAACACCAGTAATGTGAACATTAACACAACAGGGAGACAGATATATTAATTAATCAATTAATAAAAAAAAGTGTACATTTATGACCTTAAGCGTTCACTTAAGAGTTCTCTCACTTTGTCTCCATTTCAGCTGCTGTTACGCAACTTCAACAGAGTTAGGCGCTGCATCATGTTCCTGATCAACACAGGTTGCTACATCAACAGCTGCTTCGAATGGGACTCTCCACAGAGGAGCATCTGTGCTTTTGTGGTACGTAGAGCTACACTTACATATACAGTCCCATAAATTGTAGCATATTACATACAAATTTGCACAGTCATGAAGAACTGAAGCAGGACCTCCTTTTTATATCTTTGGGTAGAATTATGCTATTGCCACAAAGATGATTATGCAAGTAGTATTATTAATTTTAGAATGTAATATAGAAAGTATTTCAGAAATATACTTTAATGTAGTTGGGCCTACTTTTTTGTTATAGAAAATCACACTTTTCAAAATTAAATGAACCTCACTCACATTGATCAGTACTATTCTCATGCCAACATCTGAACACTTTCACAAGCACCATGTTCACAGAACGCTGTAGGACCATTTCTGCTAATAAAGTATGTATACTTGGTAATTGCATACCCTAACACAAGAGATTGTTGATGTCTGAAGCACTACCACTATAGACTCTCACACTCAAATATCTTGATAATCTGAATAAAATCCCCTTTTCTGGCTTTGTATTAAATGTACAAGCACAAGTGGTATATACATGGCAAGTGTCTGTTTTGACACTCATTTGCTGGGAATGACTGGAGAGTTGATGTTGCAGCTTAAACACTGTTTTAAATGAGATCCTCAGACATCCAAATGCTTAGAAAATACAGCTACAATCTATTGAAGTGTGACAAGCTGTTCCTGCAGACAGTGGAAATGGCAGCTTCTTTCTCTCTTCTCCCATCCACCTCCTCTTCATCCTCTCTCTCTCTCCCTCCTTGTCATCTGTGTCTGGTATTAAAAGGTGAAATGTAATTGGACAGCAGAGCTATCAGTAAAATACATTCCCCTGCAGGGCGGTGAGTGACTGCATGGAGGTTCCTACCCTAAAGATGACAGAGCAGGCATTTAATCCTGTCTGGTTTAGTGTCCTGACTTAAGTAGCTACAGGACAGGTGGACCCGCCCCGCCCCAGCCCTTTACCATGGGGGCACTAAGTGTCTCCACAGCAGACATTAGACATTAGCAGCATTTGGCTGTCTGACACGGGTTTCATCTCTGCAGAGGCTGTGTGTGTGTCTGTGTGTGTGTTTGTACAGCAGGTCACAGTGTCATCACAAGACATGGGTCAGAAGAGACATAGTATTGATCAGTTAACATTTTCCCTCTGCGTGTGTGTGCACGTGCTCATGTGTGAGCCTAGTGTGTGAGTGTACGCTTACATTTTCTCTCATGTAAGGCTAAACTGGGAGCGAGTCCTCTTGTCTTATCTTTTAGAAATTAATGGAAATGTCAGACAAAAAAAAAATGTCAAGGAATTCACAGAAAACAAGGTCACTTCAGAATTGCCAATCTACATGGTGAATAGAGATGGGAAGATGCAGCCTTGGATAGCGCAGCTTCCATGTCAGCACACACACACACACACTCTCACATATGCATGCCGTGTATGGCTCTTCACCGTTTTTGAAAACACAGCGTATAGTACATCCATCCAACAGTGCCGACTATTCATATTCTCATTGTACTCACTTAAATTCAAAGTATTCAGATGACTCTAAAGGATGTATCTAGGCCAAGGACGTAGCGTTTACAGTTTATAGAAAGTCTGAAATTTAGGTGTCATTGTGCTTTTCCTCTCCCCCCTCCCTCTCTCGCTCTTTTGGGAGTCTGTTATCGTAGGAGTATGCACTTAGCTAAAAGCATCAGAGTATTTAGGGCCTCTCCTCTACACAGGTACTCCCTCCCTCCCTTTCCATTTCTTCATCCCTCTCTCATTTCTCCCTCACTTTGAGAGGCCTCTTAATCACTTCGCTCATCTCTTTAAGTGGGTTTTTATGGGGGGCCATCTGGCCAAGGTGGTGCGTTCATGAAGGTGTACGGCTGTGTGTGATTATGGGCATGTGTGTCTGTTCACATGTGCACGTGTGTTTCTGTCTGGCTGTCTTTCCAGACAGATGTTACACTTAACTTTCCAACACGGCTGCAGCTACAGAGGTGGAGTTGTGGGCAATTCAACTCACAAATGTGTGCACTTCTTAACTGCTAAGTAAGTCTGGCTGGGGGATTTAAATATGTTTGTATATCTGCGGTCTTTTGTGAAAGCAACATTAAATCAAAATGCTGTTGTCTCACTGTGTCACTTCACATTCCCTCCATAAAAATGTTCAAAATTTTCTTCATAGTCCCTCACTCCTTCTGCCCAATACTGCAATGCCAGCCGCATGTACACATCGCCCATTAGTGCCAGCTGTGATTAGTGTGTATGTTGTGTGTGTTTTGTGTCCATGTGAGAGAGAGCGCGATATCGCATAGTCTCACATGCAGCCTTTCTCTGTCGCTCTCTCTCACACCCACACTGCTGTCACCCACCCATCCCGACAGTGAATCAGCCACCGTGGCAGCTTTGCCTGAGGCGTTGGCACAATGGACGGGACTGGAGTTACCTCCTGTCCTGCATGATGGGTGGTGTGTGTGGGTGTGTGTGTGTGTGTGGGTGGGTCTCCCTGTCTCGGGGTTAAGCGCCTGCTTCCTCTCTCCACACCTGCAAGCTGAGTGTCTCTCTCTTCTATCCATCCGTCCATCCCTGTTCCTCTTTATCTCTTCTTCCCCTCCTCTCCCTTTGCTTTTCCCTCCCAAAGAGTTGAGGCCATTGTGGGGCTGAGCGGTGTTGGGTTCTGTTCTCCTGCTGCTGCCAGCTCTCCCCACGGCCCCTGCAAGACAAGGCTGTTATTGCCCCAGGGACCGCAAGCTTCAGCAGCTCTTCCTCCAAACAAATTTGCTGTAACTTTATCTGCAATTGGGCCCTGAATTGGGAGCAAATAGAGGCAGCTTTGTGAAGCTCGGGGAAGGGCGAGGGCAGCGAGCTGGGGGTTGTTGGGGAGGCAGGGGAAATGATACCGGGCTCTTTTATGTCAGGCAAAGTAGGACTCTTATCAGGAAGAGAGCCCAGACAAGGGAGCTACTTCTAGAGGAAACTGGAGCACCTATCACCTGCTTTGCATTTAGATAAAAATTCACCCTGCTGAAATAAAAAAAGGGGAAAAAAGCAAAGACGGGTACAGAAGCAACTATTGGAGTGTGTGTATGTGTGTGCGTGTGTTTGCACATGTCTGGCTGGCTGGTTTGATACCCACATACACACTCAGTGCAGAGACTCCATAGCAGTCAGTGGTACACACCACTCCAGGTCTCTTTAAATTGCTCCTTTGACTCCTCTTCAAAGAACCTGTCTAACTTTTAAAAGTTTTAAAGTCTGGAGTTCGTCTTTGCCCACAGCAAGGGACAGCTTTGAAAGATATATTTTCACATTTTACTGCTCTCCTGATTTGCAAAATGAATGATAGTTGAAATATAATGGCATGACTAACAGAGAATACCAAGTCAGAGTTTAATCACCAGAGATCGAGACTCAACAGAAAATAAGTGAAGCCTTTTGTTGAGAAGTCGGGGAGACGGCATCCTTACTTCTCATAGGCACCTGTGTGCAATTGTAGCACTATGGCCATAAAATGGTGGATGCTGTATTTTAATTTTTCATGTTATTACAAAACGACGGGCTTTGACACATTGGGTTTTGTCATTCTGGCTGTTTTTTTTTTTTATCGGATGAACAGCATTCATTTTGCTATAGATCTATATTCTGCAGGAGTACAGCAGGGGGCAGTCTAGCACCACTGAATGATGGTTGGATCTGGTCACAAACAGGACACAGTCTCCCTCCCTCTCTCCCTCGAACTTAACAGGACTTTCTAGTTGCTATCTGGCAACACTTAGTGCCAGCATGGAAATTGATGTAAGAGAGATAAAGAGGAACTCTGAAATCCAAACTTCAGTTTCACTCCACTGAGACAGAGCAGGGGGAAAGTTAGCCTGGTGTGTGGTTAATGTAAGCCAAAGTACTGAATATTACCCTCCCACAGTGCCGCGGCTCAGAGCCGCAAGGACGCGGGTTGTGTTTTGAAACAAATAATGCAAGATACAACTCTCAACGTGCTGCACTGAGTGTTTGAATAAATCATTTTGACTTCTCTATTTTGTCAACATTTTTAATATATCTTCTTATGTTCCAGGGATTTCTTAATATTAAGAGAAAGCTTAAAAGATTATAATAAAGTCCAACTACAGAGACTTGTCAAGATAATTTAGTACTGATTTTGTGAGTTGGTATTTTAGCCAAAATATTACAAATTACACTGCCATGGTTTTACTTTGTTCATGCATGTGATTGTCTATTTTAATTATATATTGTGTTTGAATTTCAGCTTGTGCTTGGATGTGAAGTTTGCCCAGTTCAAATGTAGCCTTTAACTATATTTGAAATGGTTTAGCAGATTTGACAGTGGAAAATATTATTTCACTTTGTTATATGACAAGTGAATAGTTTTGTTCCTAGATATTTCAGTGCACTTCAAGCTGAGCTCACGCGACTTGTTGAAGTACAAATAATTTTAAAAGAAGTGATGATTAGGTTTTATGACAAAATAGATTTGCTGGTAAATTGCTACCAGCGTTTTGGTGACAAAATGAAATGTCCACTACAGAATAAAAAAACTAAACTAAATCTAAAATGGATATTGATCACTACTGTTTCTTAGTAGTTCACATAATTACGGACTATATTCCTACAGTGGTAGTATGAGAAGATTTATTTACATGCTCTCAAGACTAAATTTGAGAGTTTGCATTATTTGAATAAAACAGAAGCACATATACAGAAAGAGCCAAACAAACTGACTGTGTTTGTGTGAATATTTTTACATTATCACACAGGTAAGAATTCACCAGTATTAAACAAAAAGCAAGAGTCGTTCATGGTGAGCTTCCCTCTGTGTGCATGTTAACATATTCAATATGAATAGTCATCGACCACTCCATAATGCGTCTCTGACCACACAGTCATCTACAAATTATTCCTATTGACTACGTCTGGAGCTTCTTTTGGCATTTTCCCCCTCTTTTTTCCCTTCGACCCAGCATGTTTTCTTCGTTGTTTATTTCCTCTGCCTTTCTCTGGTCACTGACATCCACAGCAGGCTCCATCCCACTCCTTCTTCCCCAGGCGAAGAGCGTGCTATCTGGTGTAGCGAGCAGTGGGGGGTAGCTGTGATCGCCCAGTCTTGGTGGAAAGGTCCAGGCACTGCAGGGCCCCTATTACCCAGCCGGGGGGCACGAAGACGGGGCAGAGCTGGCCACTCCTGAGCCTGGGTGTCCGGTTCCTCTAGCTGCCAGTCAAAACTTCGCCCTCAGCTACTATAACCAAATGGGGGAGGAATGAAGGGGAGGACAGGTTAAACAACCTCAGGCAAAGGGAGAAAAAAAACATAAAATAAGGTTTCATAAAAACATCAGGACAGCGAGGAGCAATTAATTTGTCTGTTGTGTGATAGCGATACCATGAGCGATTAGGGAACCAAACACTAAATATAATTACAGTACTACATGCCTGCTGAACAGTATATTTATAGCAGAGTATTTGAAAGGACTATGTGTATCTCATGAAGATGTTTGTAAGTGTGCAGTTATTTATAGCTTTCTCTACCAGAATAGATTTTAAAACAAGTGAGCTCCTTTGACTGAAGTAGTGTTTCTGCACCTCTATTGCACTTTGTTTAGTTAGAGATCATTCCAGTCTTTATCATTGTTACAGATTTGTAAATTATAATTTGTAGGAAGACGGATAATTTTAGAATGGTTACATTTTGTGGAGAGTGTGTGTGTGTGTGTGTGAGAACATGTGGTGTTGTGTTTGTCTGTATGCACATTTCTGTTGCTGAGCATTTGCGGTCCTAACAGCTTTGTAGGATGTATGAAGGGAAATGGTTGTGGTGCTTATTAGTATACAACTATAAATTATTGAATAGTTTATTTCCAATTCTCCTACACAGCTGTGTCAGAGAAAGACTCTTTGTATCTGAGAAAGTGAAGTTGAGCTTGAGAGAGATGGGGAAAGATTTTGATCCTTTCGGGAGATTTGGTTGTTGCACCAAGACCATTCAGGTTTATTTGAAAAGTAAATTTTGCTGTGAGCATTATGCAAATGCACTGGACATTTCTAATATTTAATTTATGTCTCTTTTTGCTTTGTATACTCAGTGTCAGTTAGTTAATTTTACATGAAGTTATAGTTTTATTCAAAAGTTTGGATATGAGCCTTTCAAAGTTTTCTACATGAGAAGGGGTAAAGTTTAGAAAATGTAATTGTTTAATTGTGTTATTGTGAAGAGTTGTTTACATAGATATTTAGATGCGTGTGTGCGCGTGCGTAAAATGAAATACCGACGGCACAGTATGCAGTTTAGTGTCTGACTGGCACCACTACAGTAACAGCAGACCTGCAAACACACTCTTGAGTGGCTTTTGAACCTCACATTCACATTAACCTTAGACTGTAAACACAATGAAGAGCTTGCTTTTCAGTCTCCTCTGTCTCTCTTTTTCCACACACACAGAAATAAAGCAATTTGATTGTTCATGATTAAGCTTTCTCTCTTGTTGATGTTGTTCAGCCAAACAGGATAGATCATAATTGGTACACAGACTAATAAATCTGCTTTGCAGTAATCGTCTCAATTTCATTACTCTTAAAAAAGTTTCCCATCACAACTGATTGTTAAACATGGACGCATTTCCATACAGAGTAATTAATTTCAAATCTTCTTTGCTCATATTTGAAATAATGGATTTCTTGTACTTGAATTTGATAAATATGTTTTGCTAGAACAGATTAAGTGTTAGGCATGGTTTGCATTTTCAGCACTTGTTGTAATTGCTGCTCAGGTCTTATCAATCGATTAAAAATCTCTATACTTATACATACAATTATTAGAATAGACTAATATTATTTTTGTTCTGTCTGCTTCTGACTGATTTTATTTCCACCAAACACCCCATTGCTTTCAGCACAACCTTTCTCACAGTTGACACAGTGCCACCATTAAATAACAAGCTTCCATCATTAGCAATTTAACTTTCCCACATATATCTTCTCCCAACCACCGCAATAATCTGTTGTCACAGGCTGAAGAACTTGCCAAAACCAGAATACAGGGTTTTAGCAAAGGTTAATTTTCAGACGGTACTTTTCTTGTTTGCTGATGAGAGGGGAGGTATAGAGGTTATGGTTTTGGCAGATGGGTGCAGAGAAGGTTAGAGATGGGGCATAAGAATCTTATTGGGTAGGAGAGAGGGTATTGGGGCTTGGAGTGACAGGGTTAGGGTCTCAGGGTGTGGGGTGTGTGAGGTCAGATGCTGGGTTTAGGATTGAGTATGGAAGGGTCAGCTTTGACGTGCTGTGGCTGAAAACGGTACATGACCTCAGCCTCTGGGATGATTGGCAAGGAGGAAAGAGGCCCTGACGGCTCGTACTCATCCTCCTTATCATAGTCCTCCTCGGCTGAAGGCCCAGAAAGCCTTTAGGGTCAGGGTGTTGAACCTGGGCTCACCAACACCAGGCCTGTACCTTTTGTTGAAACTAAGTCTTATTTATACTCTTTGTTCCATGGTGGTTATGATTCTGCATACAAATGTGGTTTAATGTGTATCGTTTCAAATCGCACATATGGTCGGCGTACGTTCTCAAGAGTTTGCCTCATGAGGGTCATTATGGGGTCTTGAATGTATACATTCTTAGCTCACACTGTTCTCAATTTTTTGTTCTCACTTTTCTTTTGCTGACTGTTTTTTATTCTTTTTCTCTTCAGCTTTTTGTCATCGTTGTTTGGAACTTTGAACTCTATATGATTCCTCTGGCTTTGCTGCTGCCTTTGGCCTGGAACTACATCCTCATCACATCAGGGAAGGATACCAGGCAAGATGTGGTGAGTAACCCCATAGCTTCTTTCATTTCACTGTAAAAGCCTCTATTAACCCAAAATGCAGAGTTACAACTCAGGCACCATTGTTTTATGGAGACATCACACTCTGGTTTTATTTACGGCATTAATCACATTTACGTACATTTAATTCCTTTTCATTCTATACTTAATATAAATATTACACATTTGTGTGGTGAAAATTTGATTGGTGATGATGAGTATAGATGTACAGATGAGTAAGACGGCAACATACATTTTTAAAGAAACAATAAGAGTATGATACAATATCATTTAAAATATACCTTTTTTTAAAAATGCAGTTATAAAGTAGGCAAAATTTGAATTTAATTTAAAGAAATCTGAGCAATTAAAAAAACTCTATCTGCCCCTTGAGGAGCTGCATTTTCAGTCCAATCTCACATTTCTCACTTTGCCTTCTTTGAGGCAAAGAAAGGGGAGAAATAATAGCCTGTCACCTTGAGCTATGTTACGCCACTTACCTGGTAGTATATTTATTTAATTCATTTATTTTTTTATCTCTTATACCAATTAAATGATGTCAAAGCAATGTCATGGAGAAACAGACATGTTTTAATCATGGCCAGGCACATTTGGAGAGTAGAGAGTGAAAACGAGAGAGAGAGCTAGACTATGGAGTGAGCGTGAACAATGAAGTGATTAATTTTAATAAGTCCCTTTTTCCAAGACTCAGTTGGAAATAACCAGTTAACAGACCTCATATTTTCTTGCCGTCTGTCGCCTTCTATATGTGTTTATTTATCTCTCTTCATAAGGATTCTTTGGGTTAAATTAGATTGGATTTGAAAGACAGATTAAATTCTGTCATTATGATGAACCAAATCTCACTGCTCTGTGTCATTGTAATATTACACATAAAATGGAATTAGATGTGAACTGTACATAACTTACAACACAGATTTTTTTGGCCGGTCTTTAGCGCTAAGTTTCTCTATTTGTAAACTTAAAAAGTTGAGAATAATCAGCTGAAGACAACCCCTATGAGACATATAGAAGCCTTTTGTTAAGTGACAATAACCTAGTGGAAATAGAGTAGTTTATGGTACATACTGAAATATAGGTGTTTTAAACTGGGTAGGGTCAGATAAGTTAAGAATAGAAAGGTTTGCATTTGCTAATAAGTTCACAGACTAAATAAAACACTTAATTTGTGAATGACACAGGCTTAAAGTTTAGATGGTATTTTTCTTCGCCTGTAGATGGCGACATTGCTTGACAAAAAAAATCACACATGCCTTAAGACAAAACCCGGCATGACAATTTATCCCCCCCACCTGCTGCTTGTATTTATCCAGACCTAATGATATTCTTTTCCCATGCACTTCCTAATTAGAATGAGGCAACAAAGGTTACATATTCTCAACTCACTTCACATACGAGCAAGTACATGTAACTCCCACTTCATGCAGAATTGCTTTTCTCTCCTTCTTGAAAGGGACTATTGTGTCTCAAGTACCTCAGGAATTGGCTGGAACATTAAGACATTTTGATACTGTTGATACTCGTATTGCAAGTGCCGTTTCGTACAACAATACTGTTCCTGCTCAGTTCTGCAAAGTTGCCCTATGTATTGAGAGATATGGACACTTATTAGTGTTCTGACATAAGATCTTTTCAGTTTCAATGTTTTTAATATCTGATACTGTCTTAGTAGAATTGCAACACTGTAATTTACCTCCACATTCAGACCAGGAATCTGGGCCGCATATTTTTGACTGGCTTTCAGTTGGTATGTCAGACTAAACATTGTATGGTTTTGATGGAAGCAGTACCATTTGAAATCTTTGCCACCAACTATAACCTTCTTGTAGCTAATATTTTTGGATTTTATTTGCCCAGTTACAGTCCAAGTTGAAGGTGGGGTTTATTTTGTATTTTTTGTCTCTGAAGTTTGCTTCGAGATCATCTTCTTCGGGTTCGGTTGATTTTAAAGGACTTATCTGCCTGGGACACAGGGATGAGTAGCTCACCAAGGCCAGAAATGTTTTTTCAGCCATCAGAGCACTGCTGTAAAGTTTCATATGAGCACAGTCAGCAATGGATTTAAATGAGTGTACGTCTTAGAGTTCAGCAGTCTTGACATATGTGGACTGGAGTGCCAGTGCTGGTATTGGCTAGTGGAGGATATCTGGAGAAATTGGTTCAGGCTGGTGGTCATATAGTCAGAAGCAAATACGCAGTGTAAGACGGTAGGATAGCAATAGTGTATATGTAGGTAATGTGTGTATGATGCATGAATACTAAATATCTGTCTGGCATGTTATTTTATTCCAAGGTTATGATTTAGGCACAACCAAAGTGTTCAAACTACAGCTCATGCAAACACATTTGCATGTGTGAGTCATGCCAGGTGTGTGTTTGCGTGGTACTTAAATGTGTGTGGGGAAAATACACTGTGTACATAGAGATAAAAGTTATCTTTATGCGTCTGTGTGAAAATTGTGTGTGTATTTCTATCTTCTGTGGGTGTGCAAGTATGCATACACCAGTTTGCATATGCATGAGTGTGTGCAGACATTCTTTGCAACAATATATCCGATGAAAGTGGGATTAATTGTGAAAGATTAGCACCATTAATGCTCCTTTTCTTGCCGCTATGACAGTTGTGCTGAGCAGTACAGAGCAGCACGGCCGACACAAAGAAGATTTTCTGACAATCGTTGTCTCTCTTGTCTCTGCATTGCAATCTTACTGCCTCAGGATTGGTGAATGTGATGAACCCTCTTTCCTCGCTCCGTTATCAACTCTCTTCCTCTTTCAGTCGTACTATTACTATCTTATGTCAAATTTGAATACATACAGTAAAAGTAACGTGCAATGGTGTAAGCATTCATTATTTTCAGGCATTTGTGATTGCGAATGGTGTGTACACACACACATATATACTCTAACACACACATTCAGACAGAAGTATCCCTTGAGTCCTGTCCCTGTTTGTTTTCAGACAGAGTTTCCCAATCTGCGGCGGTGCAGGGGGGAAGTGGGTACAGCGAGAGCATACAGTCTCTGCGCTCTTCGCTTCCTCTCCTGGTCCCCTGGAATCCTCTTCCGAGTCTTTATCAAGCTGAAGTCATGGACGACTCACTGTTTCCCTCTCGTACTTGGCAGAGAACAAAAAAGAATAGAAAAGAAAACAAGGGGAAAAAGGCTTTCTAATTACTTTAAACAACACACCAAATTAAAGCATTGTGCTGAGCCGAGCAAGGGTCAGCATCCGGAGCGCTGCGGTTTTCCAGCAGTCTGGGGTGAGGGTAATGCCAAAGGAATCTCTGCTGAACTCACTCTGAAGGGGGAGAGAGAGAGATAGAGAGAGGGGGATACGCTGGGGGAAGAAAGAGAGAGAAGAAAGTATACACTTGAGTACAGACTTCCTAATGAACTGAAGGGCCTTGCTTCATCTGATGGGTTCAATGTGAGGACCCTTCTCTGATTTTACACCGCAACCACAGTCCTTAGTCCTGTCTATAGCAAATAAACAAACACAGTGTTCTCCACACGCTGTAATTCAACACTCAGGGTCACTGAATGTTGTGTGGTTACATGCTGCTTTGCAAACACATCCCGGATCAGCACTCCTTACCCTCGCCCCAACCTTGACCAGTACCTACTAAGCAGTCGGAGCGTCCTCAGAACAGCGATTAAAGGAGGCGATGCACCAGCAAGGTTACCGACCTCCTCTCTTATCATGTAGCACTCTGACCTGTGAAACCTGACTCTTCAACACTGTTAGCTGACCTGTGTGTCATGCTGTAACATGCTCACTGAAACAAACAAACAAAGAAGAGGACCTTTTTTATCCTTCTGAATATATACTATGATACTGCTTTTACTTTGACATTCAAAGACAGAAATACACTATCAAGAAAGGCCCATCCTACATCTGCATTTGTGTGGATGTGGAGGAGCACTCTAATGACCCTCTTCTCTCCATCTATATCTTGAAACCCTGAACAGTTTGGGGCTTAGATCCATCCCAAGTCTGTTGCACAGGAAGCTGCCAGTAGGCTGGGCTCGGTCAACCAGAGGACAGGCAGCTCTGTTGGAAGAGAAAAGGGCTGGAAGGCGCGTGTGCATGCATGTGCACTGCTTTCATAGCAGTGTGCCATATTAATGTGTGCGCCTGCTTGCATGAGAGTATATATGATGGGCGTTGAGATTAAGGAGCAGAGAAACATCCCAATAGAAATCCTTCCTTGCTGTTGGCCCAGAAAGGCCCATACCAGATGTTATGAAGGTGTTAATTTCAGTGCAGCCTGTCGTAGAGGGCACATACAGAACATGATGATATCTCTTTCTACCACAGGATGACGGGCAATTAGGCCTTGTGACACTGGAGAACCATCCTCTTTATCCCATGCTCCAAACTATTACATAGATTCACCCCACTGGATCCGCCAACCCATTACAGAAGAGAAGACCTTAATAGCCTGAAGATACTTCACACTTACAGACATGCCTCCAACAGCGGGATAGAGCTATATTAACCCACTCTACATCCTGAGTTAGATACAGTTTAATCTCCTTGCACTTAGTCATCCTTTAAAATAAAATAATTGACTAAGGCTTTTTACTAATATTGTCATTTTGTATTTGTGTGGTTCTTCTTGTTGTAGTTTAATCTTTACTTTCCTTACTGTGAAGCACTCAGCGTGACAGCAGTATATTGTTCATTAGTGTAAAAATAATCGGGTTTATTTCCAAGACTGTATTAATGTATGATTTTTTTGGAACAAGACTTCATTGCCATTTTTATCTATTCTATTTTCTCCCTGATTTTGCATCTCAAAAACTCTTTTCTGCGTCTCCAAACACTGTGCCGTGACATCTGCCCTCATTAAGAGCCACACACAACACAGGTAGAGGGGAGTAAATATTAGGAAAGCTGGAAGGAAAGGAGGAAATGCTGCCTATTATACCTCAACTCCAGCAAAAATTCTTACCTCCACTTTTTGCCCATAAAACCA